TGCAGCCTGCCCACGTCTGTCTGTCTGTCAGTGCCTGGGAGCTGTGCATGGCACTCAGGGCCCTGCTCCCCTTTGGCTGTGCATCCGCAGCAGGAGCCTGTGCTTCCTGGCACTGGGCTGATGTAGAGCCATGCTATAGAGCCATTCCAGGGGCAAGGCACATCTCTGGCACCGTGGTTGGGCAGGGGAACCTGTGACCTTGCTCCTGGCTGCCCTATCAGGCTGAGGGCTGGGGGAGCAATGTGGGTGGGGGTGGGTGTCTCCCTGCCCGGGGTGGCTCCCAGTTCTCAGTGGGATGAGGTAATGTCTGTGCCCGCCAGCTCTGGGAGGGGAATGGGACAGGAGTGTGGGTGGCTGGGGGGAGTGCCCGGGGGGTGCCTCCCCTGTCCCCCCCTTGCCCCAGGCAAAGGGCTGGACATGCCTGTGGTTTGCAGTGAGACGTGGGCTGCCCGAGTCAGGGCTGCCCTGACTCACTGTGCTCCCCTCCCATCCTGGGACTGCAGGGATGGCTCCGAGGGGTGGCTGGGCATCCTGCCGAGGCTGAGCCAGCACTGCCTCCACCATTCAGTATCATGGGGACAGAGCCTTGAAGTGCTGGCCCTCAGCAGGGGCTGGGCAGTGCCCAGGGTAGTGCTCAGCCTCCACTGATCGGTGGGGGGAAGAGGCTGCCCTGGCCCAATGCACTGAGAAATGAGGGGTGATCTGGGGGTCCCTGCTTTTCCCCCTTGGCCGGGTCTGTATGGTGTCTTATGCCAGGTTTGGCCTTGCATGAGGGAACCTGGGCCCCAGCAGACCCCTGTCCCTGTGGGGACAAGAGTGTCCCTCTGTTCCCACGTTGCCGCTCAGCCAGCCCAGCTCTCCCTGACTCTGTCCTGCAGCTGACTCCGGGTGGGAAGGCAGCCCAGGCTGGCGTGGGAGTGGGCGACTGGGTGCTGTACATCGACGGGGAGAGCACCAGCTCCATGACACACATCGAGGCTCAGAACAGGATCCGTGCCTGTGGGGACAGGCTCTGCCTCACCCTGAGCAGGTAGGATTCATGGGTCCTGCAAACCTGGGGTCCTGGTGTGTCTGAGCAAAGCTGGGACCATCTCCAGGCATCACCATTTCCCAGCATCACTGCTCCTTGCTCAGAGCCTGGCAGTCCCTGGCTGGGTCCAAGGGCTCTACTTGCCTATATTAGGCTTAGCCTGGCTGCTGACCCTCACCATGGGACAGTGCCAGCCAGCGATACTCCCCTCAGGCAGGTGCTGCACCCCTGGGGTACCAGTGTCCTGGTGGTGGCTTGGCCAGTTCCAGCACCTGCCCGGCTGTCTCCTCTCTTGCAGAGCCCAGAACCACCTGGGGAAGCCACAGAAGGTACGTGTTGTTCCTGGTGCTGCAGCGGCAGCTCAACCTCGTCTCAGGGGAGGGGAATCTCTGAGCATAGATGGACAAAACAGACTTTGCTCCTGGGGCCTGCGGGCTTCTGGGGAACTGGGGTGTGTTTGTAGAGCTGCAAAACGACTCTCTGGAGGAGCAGCTCTGACCCCTGGCACAGCAGGGGATTGCACAGAATGGGATCTGCTGCCTGTCTGTGTCCCTGCCCGTGCTGGATGTGGGCAGGGGTGCAGAGGGGCTGATGCAGGGGAGGAGGCCGGGCAGCCTCAGCACGGCCTTGGGGCCCCATGTTTGCTGGTCTGGGGAGTGCCCTGGCATGGGGAGGCAGAGCTGGGGCCAATGACTGGTGGCTCCTGGACAGAAGCCACCTGCATGTGTTCAGCTTTGTGCCATGGGATGGTTGCGATCGGTGTGTGCATGCACTGCCTTGATGTGTGCAGCAGCAAGCGTCCAGGACACTTACTAATCCTCCAACAGCCCTTGGGCTGGGCTTGTAACCTTCTGTTGCTGGGCCAGGTGCCCTGTGGAGAGAGGTACCAGCCTGGCAGAGCCCTGTGCCTGAGGAGTACATGCTGTCCGGCTTTCCTACCTGGCTGCCTGCTGTGCTGGCTGGCCCGGGGCTGCCCCTTGCATGCTGCTTGACGTGTGAGCCCGTGTCTGTGTGTTTTGTCTCGCTCAGGACTCACTCCCCTGCTCTGAACCCCTGAAATATAACTTCGCTCCCAGCACCGCCCTCAACAAAACCGCTCGGCCCTTTGGGGCCAGCTCTCCTCCGAACCCACGGCCCGGGCTGGTGACGAAACCCGTGACCTACGCGCCCCTGCCCCCCGCCTGCACCCCCCAGCACAATGGGTATGTTGCTGTCCATCCTGCTCCCCAAAAACTGGGGAGAGCCCGCTGCCCCGCCCTGCTGCGCCTTGCATGCCAGGCACCCATGGGTGGGAGTGGGCGACGGTGCCCTTGTTGGGATCCCCTGATGGCTGTTGCTGAGGTGGCACAACAGGGCTGTCACGTGCGGGGACACGTGGCCATTGTCAGTCCCTCGCTCAGGGACATGCCAGCCTGTGGGGAGTCCTGCGGGGCACAACATGGCAGTCGTAGCAGGACAGTCACTGGTGTGTGTGGTGACAGGGAAGTGGTGGCTGGGTTGTGGCCCACCGGCAGTGGCCGGCCCCAGGTTCCTGCCAGTCCCACAGCTGCTAGAAGAGGCTGGGCAAAGTGAAGCCCTCGAGCCTTGGGCAATGCCATCCTCACCATGCTGGCAGGGAAAAAGCTCCCACCTCTGCAGGCTGTCCACCTGGCTGCCAGGTGTCTGACAGCTCCTGGTCCCTGCCCCACCTGCCCAGAGCTGCCATGGTGCCCTGAAACTGGGCAATGAGGGGGGGGGGATGCCTGTCTGGGGGAGCTGAGGGAGGCATGGTCTGTTCAACTGGCATCTGCCACATCTCAGTGTGCTCCCAGCCCTGGCTGAGCTGGGCATGAGTCTTGGGGCTAAGGGGTCTGGTTCAGGCCATAGATGAACTCTGAAAACTTCTTGGGTGCTGTGGGTCTAATTTCACCTTCCTTTTTCTTTCTTTCTCTCTTCCTTTTCTCTTTCTCTCTCTCCTACAGGTGCTGAGCCTGGACAAGTCAGTAAGCCTTTTGCCTGCTCTCTCTATCCTCCCTGCATGCCTCTCCCCTGCTAGTGCCCCGTTCACCGGGGCAGGGCCAGCCCAGAGCAGGCAGCTTGTGCTGCTCTGCCTCTGTGGGTGGGTCACTCCTGGATAGCAAGCTGTCCCTGGCCTGCAGGGCGAGGTTTGCCTGTCTCTGCCAGCTGCCGTGGTGCTGGAGTGTCCTCGTTGTGTGTTCCTATCCCAAGACTTGGCTTGGCTGGGTGGGAGCTGCCAGGCTGTGCTGGGGACCCTGCCTGGGGCCAGGCAGGTGGTTGCCACTGCCATGGGCACTGTAGGTGTTCACTGGGCTCTTGTGAAGCTCCTGTACTGATCATTTTTTTTACTTTGGCTTGTTCTTGCCCTGTACTTTCTCCTCCTGGCACCTGGGGCTAGTCTCAGACTGCTGGGAATGGTGGTCAGTCCTGAATGGGTCTTTCCCATGCAGAGCTGGATTAGGAGGTGTGGGGAGTGAGGCAGTGTGTAGTGTCACGTACCAATGTGCCACAGTTCTGTGCTGGGGAGGTGTGGGTCAGTGCCAGGGAGGGGATGCCATGGGGGTCTGTCAGATTTGACAGATGACTGTGTCACTCGCAGGCAGCCCCCCCAGGCGCTGGAGACCCCCAGCACCCCTGTATACGACCCAATGAAGTTGAGGCTGATAGAGGACGCTGAGCACTGGCAGCCCCGCACCGGGACCTCCCAGTCCCGCTCCTTCCGCAAACTGGCCCAGATGACGGGCACAGATGGCTGTAAGTTCCCATGGGGCCAGGTACTGGTGGCCTGGCCCCAGGGCAAAGCTGGGCAGCTGGAGCTGGATGAAGTCTGTGGTGCATTGTGGCACCAGAATGTTTGTTTTGTCCCCTGTGGCGCCTCAGGCAGGCTGAGGTGTTGGAGCTGCCCTGGGCTGTGCGTGAGCTCCTGGTGTGTCCCTGTGCTGGGCTGTGCTCTGCCCATGGCCGGGCAGGGCTGTGTACTGGGGCAGGAGGGTGGTGGGAGGAGAGGTCAGTTTTCCTTCCTTTCCCCTCCTGCTGTCCCTGGGTATTGGTTGCCACAGACTGACTGTGTATCCTCCTTTATTTCCTGCTGCTCTCAGTGGAGGATGATGATGATGTATTTGTTAAAAAGCCGAGGTAAGGGGAGCATGTGCCAGGGCTGCACTGAGGTGCCCAACCGGGGCTCAGCCCACCTGGCTGGTTTGCCCTCTCACTGCTTGCAGTGACTGTGAGAAAGCTCTTTGCCCTGTTGCTGTTTCTTCTCTTTGCTCCTCCTCTGTCCTCTCCACCTCCCAGAGCCAAGCTGTTGGCAGAGCTGCATGACAGGTACCACCAGCGCTCACCCGCTGCTCTGACTGTCACCTTGGGAGGGTCCTTCCTTGACACAATGTCCTGCAGGGCTGTGGGGTGGCTGCAAAGCTGGTTGGGAGGGAATGTTCCCGATATATTTTTGTGAGGTTCATGCCTCTGTGGGGCTGGGGTGCATACAGGATGATACACTGAGCCATGGGACACCCACTGACTGTTGTACTGACATATTTTTCAATGCCACAGCGATGCTCTTTGGTCTGGCTGGGGCACAGGGGAGCAGCAATGAGTGTGAGGCTCTGGCAAAGGGGTGGCTGTGTGTGAGGGCACCTTTGGGAGTGCTGCCATGTGACAAAGCCGGGTCCAGACATTGTGCTGATTGTTCCCCTGGCCTTCTGTCACTCGCAGGCAGCCATCGCAGCCTCTGGAGTCCCCCAGCACCCCTGTGTGTGACCCAGGGAAGTTGCGGCTGATAGAGGATGCTGAGGACTGGAAGCCCAATGCCTGGACCTCCCAGTCCCGCTCCTTCCGCAAACTGGCCCGGCTGGTGGGCGCAGACAGCAGTGAGTTTCCATAGGGCCTGGCACTGGCTGGTGGCCTGAGGGTACCCAGCTTTGCCTGGGCAGCTGTAACCCCACAAAGGCTACAATGGGGCAGTGGGGCTTTGGTTTTGGCCCCTGTGCCCCATCAGGTGGGCTGAGGTGTCGGAGCTGCCCTGGGCTGTGTATGGGCTCCTGGTGTGTCCCTGTGCTGGGCTGTGCTCTGCCCGTGGCTGGGCAGGGCTGTGTGCTGGGGCAGGAGGGTGGTGGCAGAAGATGGTTTTCCTTCCTTTCTCTTCCCTGTCCTTCCCTTCCTGCTGTCCCTGGGCCTTGGTTGCCACAGACTGACTCTGTCTCCCCCTTCTCTCCTGCTATGCTCAGTGGAGGATCATGAGGATGAGCTTGATAAAAAGCCCAGGTAAGGGGAGTGGGTGCTAGGGCAGCAGCAGGAGCTTTCTACAGGGCTGCACATCCTGGGCTGGACTCTGGGCACTGCTGGTGCTGAGTTGGGAATGCCAAGCTGCACCATGGCCTCTGGAGCAAATGGAGTCTGGGGGAGTCTATAGGCACTAGCAAAACCTGGCTATGGGTGATCAGAGGTGCTGGGCAACACCTGGACCTGGGGCGCAATGTTTTGTGGGGCTAGATGATGGCTGCACAGAACTATCACCAGCTTGTTTGACCTCCCTGCTTGCAGTGACTCTGGGGAAGCTCTCTGCCCTGTTGCTTTGTCTTCTTTCCACCTCCCGTCCGCTCTCTGTCGTCTCCTCAGAGCTCAGCTGTTGGTGTAGCCGCAGGGCCCGCCCTCTGCTCACCTCAGAATGGGCACCACTTCACTCACTGCTCTGTCTGTCAACTTGGAAGGGTCCTGCCTGGGCACAGACAGCCACATAAACTGTCCCTATATGGGATGTCCCCATGCTGGCTATGCCAGGCAGGATTCTGGGCACTGCTGGCACTGAGCTGGAGAGGCCGAACTGCACTGTTGCTTCTTGAGCAAATGGGATCTGGAGGAGGCTGGTGGCACTGGTGATGCATTTCTGGGGGTGTTGGGAGGTGCTGGGTCATGCCTGGATGTGGGGCACAATGCCCTGTGAGATAGCATGGGGCTGTGGGGTGGCTAGGGAGAGCTGGGTGATAGTCACAGGGTTCTTTATGGGGCTGGGAGTGTGTATGGGAGGGATACATTGAGCTATGGGTTAGCCATTGACTTCTGTGCCGCCATTTTTTCCAATGCCACAGGGATGCCGCTGGGTCCAGCTGGGGCACAGGGGAGCAGTGGTGAGTGCCAGGGCCTTGCAAAAGTGTCAGGGCATGCAAGGGCACCTCTGAGAGCGCTGCCCCGTGCCCAAGCAGAGTGCACGTGTGGTGCTGGCTGAGCATCTGCCCTCTGTCACTCACAGGCAGCCCCCCCAGGCGCTGGAGACCCCCAGCACCCCCGTGTGTGATCCCGGGAAGTTG